TGCAAAGTGGGATTTCTTGGTGGGATTCGGGGGAAAGGGTTATGAAGTGAAGGAAGAAACACGAGTATTCAAACAGCTCATTCATTCAACTTGCAGAACGAACAGCTCAGGTGTATATACACCTCAGATTTACCAGCAATGCAGATCGGTGGAAACCAGCGCTTCATTGCACATATCTTTAGCAGTATTCTATTGCAATGAACCTCTTCCTCACCCCTTTATGAGTTATAAACCAAAACAAAACAAAAAAAAAACAAATAAATTTCGTATCAGCTGCGAACACTGCTGTACGATGCACCGAATGTAGTTTTACAATAACCCCTTTGCCAATGGCCTCTAGGGGTTGAAATCCTATCCTACCATAGAAGAAATACAACATAAATGCAACTGACACGATAAACTCAATAAAAATATTATTTCAACAAAGACTAGCATGCAAAATAATGATTCACCTGTTGCTTGAACATCTCAACCAGGGGGCCCCCACGGGGGCCCCAAAGGAGGTTCGCTACCCTGATAAAATATATATCTAATAAAATATATATCTAAACTGATCACAGGGAGTTTCTTTTATAAATATATACTGAAATACCAGTTTGTTAAGCACAAGAGTAATATATTTACCCCCGAGGGCCCCAGGGCATTCATAACACCCCCCATACACACTGCTGTGCTGTCGCTGGGAGAGTGGGCTCAACTGTCTCGTTAGTTCGTTTGTGTTTGTTTTTAATGCGTTTGTTCGTTTCCATGATAAGGAGAACAACACAAGGTCGAGGAAAAAGAAGAGGGAAATAAACTCTTATACTTCGTTTTGTTTTAGTACAGAACCAGCACTTGCTGCAAGCTAGCGAATAAGGCATCATGGCTAGCTCCAGCTAGCCATAAAGGTACAGCTAGCCAATGCACTACAGCTGCAGGCTATCAGAGGCATATGAACCCCTTGAATGTTCACTGCTTTATAGAGATGCAGCATCAGCACGCAGGCAGGGGAAGGGGCAGAGGAGGCCAGCTCAGCTGAAACCTAACAAAAAGGCAACGTGCTTCACAGCTGTGCACCAGAAAACACCAATTCACTCAACTCTTGTGGGTCGACTCACCCCCCTACTCAGCCTTCTTTATAGTTATCTTCTCCATGATATATATATATATATATATATATATATATATATATATATATATATATATATATATATATATATATA